GCTGAACAAATACCTGCTTTAAGGCCTTCAGATTTGATTCTTCCATCTCAGAGCCCTGCAGAGCCTCTCTTCTATACAGCTGGTCACTGTTGAACTACATGATTTACCTGCTCTGTTTCCCCTTTGACTTGCCCCAGCAGCAAATTTGCACGTGAAATGGTGTGTGACATGATGGTGTGTTAGAGCCAAAGAGAGTGGGGAGGAACTAACCCATTTGCTCTTAATACATTTTCTGGCTACAGAATGAATCACTTGCAGTATGTTGTTTCCTTTCTCCAGTTCCTCCTGTAATTGAGGGTGATGCTGACACAGCCCAGAACAGGCAGGTAGTTGCTGGCAATTCACTGACATTGGAGTGCAAAGCTGCTGGCAACCCTCCACCTCTCCTTACCTGGCTAAAAGATGGTGTGCCTGTGAAAGCAAGTGACAACCTGCACATTGTGTCTGGTGGGAAGAAGCTGGAGATCCTGAATGCTGTTGAGGCTGACCAGGGCCAGTATTTGTGTGTGGCCACAAGCATAGCTGGAGAACAAGAAATCAAATATGAAGTTGAAATCTTAGGTGAGTGAGCAAGCAGAGCTACTGATTTGCCAGGTTTCCATAGCCCTAATAAAGCATGCTTCTGTTTTTGTCAGTGTCATTATATGAAAGATCAGTTAGTCAAGCTGCACACTTAGTTAAGCTTGGGCACTGCACATTTTTCTGTCCACAGTTATGGGACAGCTTGAAACTCTTACTTTCAGTTCTTGAAGAGTTTTTGTGTGTGTGGTAGGTAAATATTATTCTCAGGAACCTTTAAAATTCTTCTAACTTGCCTTTCTGGAAGAAAACCATAGATAGGAAAAGAATCCTTTAAAAAAATAACACTGACTAGTTGCCTCTGGAGTAAGAACCCCTCTTTCTGAATTTGAGCTGTGTTGTGCAGATTTCACACCTTTAATGAAGAAGACATTGTCTTCTTTTTCCATTGAATCCTTTGTCACAGTCTGAATCTCAGCAGCCCCTTCTGAGTCTCACTAGGTAAATGAATTATACAGGCTTTAATCACTTTCTTCTGACATGGAAGGGTTTCTTTAAGAACTTTGAAGTTCTTAATTTTTGGGTTTTGAACTGCTTGCTTGAATAACACTGCCTACTGTTGCAGGCAGATGTAGAGCATCCATCCTAGTGCTCCAGGTGTGTCTCGCTGGTCTTGCTAGTCAGGGAGGGAGCTGGGAGGAGCTGTGTATCTTCCTCCCCAGCCCACCCAGTGCCAGAAAGGGAGACAGAGTGAGAAGGATCTGGAAGCAGGTCCTCTGCACTTTGGTTTTCTTCTGCTCACAAAGGGAGGCTAAAAGTCTGCTTCCCCCTCACCCCAACAACAGAACCTGGAAAAAAACAACCAGACTAGAAACAGTAAAGAAGAAGGAAAAAAATAATTAGAAGCCACAGAATATCATTTGGGTAGATGTTTCCCTTCAAAAAAGAACAGTGATGAATTACAAATCTCTGTGTGTCCCAAAGTAAAATAGATGTCAAGATTGTTTTGTTTTGGGTGTTTTTTTAAAAACATGACTATTTTTTAAAATGTTTTTTATGGCATTTCTAATGCTCATATGTTTCCATTGATGTATTTTTTTCCCCCCTCTTACAGTCCCACCATTTGTGGAAGGTGGGGATGAGCTCTTGGATTACATTGTGATTCTCCATAGCCCTTTGGAGCTGGATTGTTCAGCAACAGGGACACCCTCACCAACTATCACGTAAGGGGATTGGTATGACAGTAAGAACAAAAAATCTGGTTGATTGGGTGAGCTTGGAGGTTGTCTTTGTGAGCTGCTCACATGATTCAGTGATGGTCAACATGTGGAAGACAGGCCCCTGGCTCCACGTAAGATGGTGTCAGGCACATGCATGGCAGGATCAGGGTTTTGTTTTAAAGTAGCTTGGTATGTTGTGCCAATATGCATGTCCTGGAAACTAGGACAGGTCAGTGGAGCTCACAGAGCTCTCATTCCCTTGCTAATGCAACTGTACATTTTTCATCTGCCACCAGTGACTGCTTTTGCTTTGGAAATTTGTCTTCCTCTGCTGGTGGCATCTGCTTTCACTGTTGTTTCCCAGCTGTCACCTTTCTGACTTCTTCTTTGGTGCCTGGTCCCTTGTGCTCCATCTTGGTCCGGGGTGCTCAGAAAAGCAAAATAATACCTGTCACCTCCAGACCTTCCTAGGAACTAATAGAGTTGTGCATATTTAGGAGTGTTGTTGATCTTACTACTATAGAGGTCTGAGTTTGTACTTCTTTTTGGCAGGTGGTTGAAAGATGGTCAACCAATTGAAGAGGGAGCTGGACATAAGATCTTATCAAATGGACAGAAACTTCTCATCTCTCGAGCCCAAGTGTCAGACACTGGCCGCTATAAATGTGTGGCTGCAAATAAGGCAGGAGAACATGGAAGGGAATTTGATGTTACCGTGCATGGTAGGTTACTCAGGGGTGGGGGGCAGAAAGAAGCAGACTGTCTGTATTTTAAATTGCTGGCAAGAAGGTGCTCAAATTTTCTGTAAACCTTTATTTCTACTAGTGGGTTGAAAAACTGGAGAGAAGAGTAGAAGAAATAGAAGTAGAGCTGCTCTTACCTGTGAGATATTGCTTCTGTATATGTAAATGTATGTGTTCAAGTCATACTTTGTTTTTGTCTGTGGTGCTTCTTCCAGTTCCTCCAACCATCAAATCATCTGGGACTTCTGAGAGAGCTGTGGTGATATACAAACCTGTGACTCTACAGTGCATAGCCAATGGCATTCCAAGCCCTTCCATAACTTGGTTAAAAGATGGTCAACCAATAAATACAGCCAGAGGAAATATAAGAGTAAGCACTACTCTCTTACAGGATCCAAACAATGAATGAGATTTACAATAAGTTATACATGTTAGTGCTGCTTTTTCTTTTGCTTCCCTCGTGCTGTGGCATAAAGATGCTAAAGCTCCATCCTGAAGAGTGATGGGCTTGTTACCTGAATAGGATGGTATCTCAGGTTGAGTGGCAGGGTTTAGCAGCCTGAATCCCATTGGACACCTCCATATCAGGAGAGCCCATGACTGTAAGTTCAGCCTCTGCCTCCTGGCATGTGTACTTCAACCTTCACAGTGTGGCTGTCTGCCAGCTGTGAGGTGGCTCTACCTCCTTGTTACTGTGAGGTGGGGTTGGCTGAGGTTTTCTGTGAGCAATGCAGCATCTACATGTACATTTCCTGTCTCACTGGAGTTCTGACTTCCAATGAACAGCCCTCCCCAGTGCTTGCATGCTCCAGGGAGGCAAGCTCTTGGAATGGCTTGGATTTACTTCAGGCTGGACTGGTTTCTGACATCTTTCCAGTGGCAGCTCTGTCTGCCTGCAGCCTCCTCTCCACTTGCTTGCCTGTCCCTCTGCCATCCAGGCTTCCTTTCAGCTGTTCAGCTAATAATGCCCATGTCCCAGGAACACGAGAGTCTCTGAACTGCCAAGACACCTCCTGCATGAGGATTAGCCCCAGGTTAGAAGAAAGATGAGACTGGCTGTGTTCAGCAGAAACATCTGCTTTGCCATTCCCTAGTGGCTCTGCCTGGGATCCTTGTGTAAAGTGGTTCCCTGCTCTCTGTTTTGGTACAGCTGGAGTCTTCAGGCCGTATTCTGCAAGTTGTCAAGGCCCTGCTGGAAGATGCTGGTCGATACACTTGTGTGGCAACAAATGCTGCAGGAGAAGCCCAGCAGCACGTCCGGCTTCACGTGCACGGTAATGATGTTTCTGACTCCAGTTAGAACTCAATGTGCCTGGTTGAAGGCAGCTTTTTGACATCCATATCCCTTTCTCTTTAAAGCTTTCTGGAATTTTTGTTGTCTCTGCACATTCACCTTTCAGTTTCCTTTCTTTGCCCCACTCCATTAGTAAGAAGTCAGGGCAAAAGTTTGCTGTCTTGGAATTCAGCCTTTCTCCTGTGATACCAAGGGCCACAGAAAGGAATGCTCTCCCCGTTAACTGTGCTGGTCAAGAAGCCAGATGCCTCTAACCCACCTCTCAGAAGGGCACTCTGTGCTTCTGAACCGTGATGTGATGTACCACTGCTGGCTTTATGACCATGATCCAGGTCTTCTGGGGATAATGGCATGTCCAGCACCTTGCAATGGGGAAATTGTACACGAATTGACTTTTCTAAGAAGGAAACATTATCTTCTGAGGGGATTTTCCAGACTGTTTGTAAGTCTGTATAAACAGTATAAAAGTAATTGGGGAAACTTGTGAAGCTGTTGTTTGTATGTCAATTTAATAAATTCTCTCACCATGATTTACATATATTTGCCTCAGAAGTGGTCACAATGTATTGTGCCTTCTTGATGTGACCCAGTTCTCAAAAGATACAGGAGGTGCAGGAATGGACTGTGACAAAATGCTCATGATGGCTGTCATTGTGGTGACTCTCAAACCAAAGTTCCAGTAACTGGAAAATGTTAAACTGAAATGAAGAGAGATTGCAGTATATCCATGGATGAGACTCAGAAACAGAAACCACACTCCTACTGTAATAATTGTGATTTAGTTTATTGTGGTGTCAGCCCCATGCTCACAAATACCTCTTTCATTCTCAGCCTTCATGTTCAACGTGTTATTATCTGCTGGTTTTGTCATTTTGGAAATTTCTAAACTTTACTAAGGTAAAGAGTCTTGCTTTGTTAAAGCCATGTACAACATGCAGTTGTTACCAGGTCATGAGATGAGCTTGCCGTTACAAAAGTTACTGTCTGTTGTGCACCCATTTCTTGCCAGTCCACTTCAAGTGCAATTTTTCTTGGGTAAAAACATAAAAATAAAGTAATACAAATAATGTGTTATTCCTGTTAGCACTACTGAGGTTATATAATTAGTACTCTCATTTCAAAGACAAACTTCCTTGAGAAATTCCTCAATCCTCCAACTGTTTAGTTGAATCTTGTGCAATTCATTGCCCAAAGTTTCTCAGAGGGCAGATTACTTTGTGATTGGATCTTCTGCTAGCTGGGTGGCTGAATTAATGAAAACCTGATGCCATTGTCTTTTCCCAGAACCACCCAGTCTGGAAGATGCAGGGAAAATGTTAAATGAAACAGTGGTGGTGAATAATCCAATCCATCTTGAATGCAGAGCATCTGGGAACCCCTTGCCAGGTATGCACCATGAAGCGGATCTGAGAAAAGGTTTTCACTTTTACCTGTCTTTTGAAAATAATGGATCACCTGAATGTGGAGTTAATTCTGTGGTTTTTAAACTAGTTAGAAACTACCAAACACTGGGTATAATGGGAACTCTAAGTATGTCAGCTGATGTGGAGTTAAGTACTGAAGAATTCAGTAATCCCCAACATTTCAAAGGAGTGAAAAACACAAGGATAATCTATTGCCTTGCATGTACAGCAATAGACAAGGATACTGTTAGACTTCTAGATGTGTAGATGTGCTGCTGAGGGACATAGTTTAGTGGTGGCCTTGGCAGTGCTGGAGTAGCAGTTGACCTTGATGATCTTAAAGGTCTTTGCCAAGCAAAACAATTCTATGATTCTGCTAAATCAGTTTTATACTCTTCTCCTGTCAGCTCAGTATTTCACAGAGCAGGGCAGCCTTAGAACAATGCCTTGTGTACTGAGTTGTTCCCAGCACTGTGGCTGGGACCTTACCTAAAGTCTGTTGAAATTATTTGGAGGCTCCTTGTTTGGACTGGGCCCCTTGCCTGGAAGAATGAGTAGGTTTTCTCCGTGTGTGCAGTGATGTCTGGGGCTTGCCCTGATGGCAAATTATAGTAATGACTTTGTGAGTTCTCCTCATATTCTAAACTTTGAAATCTAGGCCGTGTATATCTGTTTTATCCTCATGTTTTGTGGAATTGTAAGGTTTTTTTAAGGCAAATTTCCCATGCAACTCAAACAATAAGCCAGGTGAGAGCTGAAGGAGTTTGGCTACTGTTTAGCCTCATGGACCTTTTGAATTGTTTCTGAACTGAGAAACACATCAAGCAGTCTGGATTTGGGTCACTTCACTGCTGGGATTCTTTCAGCACTAGGATTTTTTTTATTAGATTTTTTTTTTATAGTTAATCTCTTTTGTTTTATTGTTATTTGTCTTTTTTTCCTATGTGTGTTTTTGATCCAATCTTCTTCTGATATGATATAAAAATACTGTGTTAATAGAAGAAATGTATATATTAATCATCATACAGCAGAACTTGGGGAATGGTGTAGCAATACTATCCAGTATAGCAATTTATTCTTGTGCTGATGATAATCCCATGTTCAACAGAAAGGTGATATTAAATGGCAGCTTCACATCCAGGTTCACCTTCTCCACCTTATAAAGAATTAATTCTCAGCAAAGTAGTATTTTCTGGAATAATTTATACTTGTGTAAAACAAAATTTGCAATTATTGGTGGTTTGTGTAAAATGTTATAATAACAGAAGGATTTAATATCCATTTTGCACTTTTTTTCTCATCAAATTACCAGTTTTAGGACGAACAATTAAAATAATGGGGTTAAGATAATTTATACAATACACCTCTTCTGTCTACGATATGATATTATACACTACTGTCAAGACACAATAGCTAAGATAAGTGATAGCAAAACTCACACTGGAGAAGAAACCTGCCTGCAGTCTTGCTCATCAGCCAGGCCAGATGACTTCCTTAATGTGTGTCTTTCACAGAAGACTTGGTGCTACAGAATTTGATTCCATAAGTAGCAGTGTCATCTGATGGAATAGCCAAGTGATGCCAAGGAAAGCATCAGTTACAGGTTCTGCTGATGGAGGGTGCCATCTTTTGGCTGAGGTGCAAAGAAGTCCTGAGATTTCAGTGGTTATCGAGTTTCTGTGGAATCTCTTTTTGGAGTAATGCCAGTTTTCTGGGCTCTGCTTCCAGTTTCAAGCTGCCAGCTGAACTTTGATTTGGTCGCTTGCATTTTCCTTCTGTAAATGTTCCCAGGTGGTTCACTTTAATCTAGTAATATTTTGGGGTGAAAGGTGATGATAAAAAGATATCTATCATATTATTGCATATTTTTAAGTAGCTGCTGTTGGCCTTGGGATGAGTAAATCCTCTCTAGGGATGCTCTGTGTGATCATTGTTTCCCTTCAGAACATAATTTTCATAACTGCCAGGTGGTGATGGTGTCACGTTTGCTGTTGAATTCCGCGTTGTGCCCAGATGTTACAGATGTCTTCAGGTTCTAGTTACTTTTTATTGTTATGAATTCTGATTAACATTGATACCGGAGTATTTGCTGCCTCTGTTTGTAGTGGCAGCGTTTTTTTGGCAGCTTTTCCATCTTCCCTTTCATTTTGCAGCCATCACCTGGTATAAAGACAACCGCCCAGTTGCCGCTGCCGCCGGCGCCTCCTTCCTGCAGAGGGGACAGGTCCTGCAGATTGAGGGGGCTCAGGTCTCAGACACCGGCCTCTATAGGTGTGTGGCTGTCAACACAGCAGGCACAGCTGAGTTGTTTTACAGTCTTCAGGTTCATGGTAAGGATCATAAAGCTTACAGCCTCCCCTACCTATGAAGCACCTTTGCTTTTCTCAAGTTTCCAGTCTGTTTAACAGATTTATCATCACACCATCATGCTGGAGGAGATTTGGCACTGGGCAGAGGGAAAAACAGACACTCTTCTGGTTTGCAGCAATATTAGAATGCGTGTTTTGAGTCAGGAAAATCTGGTAGGGAAGTCGATTCGAGAAAGAATCAGCAGAGGCACCAGGTTTGTGGAAAATGTATCTATGTTATCAATTCAGCAAGTCTGAAGATCTTGCCGTTGGTGGGTTTTGCTATAGAGGGCTTGAAGGCTCCCAGGAGATAAAGAAAGGGCACAGATCAAATGCTTTTTCATAATCCAAGAGTTTTAAAGAAAAATGTACTGTGTCTAAGAAAATGAAGTGGAAGTGTGGGTGTTTGCAGACATGAGACACCTGATCAAAAGCCAAACTGGAGCTTTTCCACTGATTTCAGTGGCTATTGGAAGAGGCCATGATCCAAATTCTTATCTTTGATACATGCACAATGTGGCTGGTTTTCTGTGGGAGTCTTCCCTTCAAAACTGTGGCCCAGATTTGGCAGAGTGTCCCCAGCTGAGATGCACACGGAGTATGTAGTTCCTATTAATGTCAATTAACAAATAATGAGTTGGGCAGTACATTTTTATGGAATTAATGACCATCATGGGAGAAACTGATGGCTCAAGACGTGGTCAAAGGCAATCCCACCCAGTGATTAATTCTCAGGAAATATTTAGAGCCAAGGTTATTATTCTGGTCAAACTGAAAAATGAAAAATAACTCCTGAGTGTATGTCTCTTGTTGGGTGGCAGAGTTTCAGTGGATACGTCCAGAATTTTCTAGGGAGCTAATACTTTATGACTTAGAATTATATCCCCTTCTAGAACTGAATAAATGCAGCTGCAGCCAGAGCTAATTTCATCAGAGGAAGCTGAAACACCTAGCCATGAACCTGCTTAATTCATCTGGTGTTCTGCCAGGCTTCCATGAGTGCTTTTGAATTTACCATGAGCAAGTTTATCATCCTGTTTACTTAGAGTTTATGAGTAGGAGAAGAGGAAACTGGAGATTTTTCCCCTCTTAATAGGGGGATGAAGACTGACTACTTAACAGAGAGCAGACTCTGAAGTGTCAAGGGCACAAAGTTGTGCTCTGTTTACTGAAAGTTTGCTCTAGCTTTCTGTGAGGTGGTTGGCATTGGGAATGAGCAACTATGTGGATCCATTACTGGTCATGTTCAACAACTTCTGTTGTTGGTGCTGTTGCTGATGGAGTAGCTGTGGTAGAAATTATCAGATTAGTTTTGCATTGAAAACAATGCCTGATACTGTGGCTTAGCATCAGATTAGGCCTGCTGAAGGAAGCAGATTGAATGCTAGCTTAGTATATTCATATGATTTCATGATAAGAATTTTTTCCACTTCTTTCTCACCACTATAACATTTTCAGGCCTTTGAGAACAATGGAACTGCATGCATGTGTGTAGGGGAAAAAAATATAAAATCACACTTCCTTATTTTTTTCCTGCCATTTCTGCTGTTCCTCAGATTTATCAAAGAGCAGGTAGTCTGGGTTACAGGCTGAATTAATTAATCCTATTTTCAGTACAGAATTTTACACATTCTTTTTCACCACATAGGATATGTATGAATAGATCCCACCATTCTCTTTCTAGGAGTGACTTCAAGTATGAAGTTTTGTACTGATACTGACTGTAAAGCTTTATTACTAAGTTTTTATTTGTAGGAGCAAGTAGAATTGTTCTGATTCTCCTGATAAATTAAAAATCTCCCTTTTTATAATACTTCATGTGTGCCATTTTAACATAGCTCTACAAAGTTTGCTCCCCTGTATACTTACACTAAGTGTTTGGAGACGTTCATGAAGATGTTTTTTATTGTCAGACAGGCAGATGTTATAAACTGGTAAACATTCACATATGCTTTGCAAGGCCCATTTATTACTTGGCATATGTATATGCTTTATGCAGTTCATATGGGAAAATTCTTTAATCCCCACTAGTCCTAATGCCTTATACAAAGTCTAAATGGAACATTATAGAAGTTGGAAGGAATATTTTCTGGTTTTATGTTGTGGTTCCTGGGTTTCACAGCTGTCCTCTGGGCTGTGCACCCCACCCTGCCTACCTTGCTCACAGTAGTTCCATTGCAGTGATCTGACTGCTCGTGCAAGGAAAGAGCAGGGTTTGGCACAGAGCAAACAAGTGGCAAGAGTTCAGTAGGAGTAGCACGAGAAATCATTTCAACAACCTAGTGCCTTGCACAAGGAGAAATAACGTCCAGAACTAAGTGACCCGTTTAATTGATTGTGATGCAGCTGTTTCAGCTTTCTTTTCTTTTGTTTTCTTCCAGTGCCACCATCAATCTCTGGCAACAGTGACATGGTGACAGTGGTGGTCAATAACCTGGTGCGACTGGAGTGTGAAGCCAGAGGCATCCCTGCACCTATTCTGACTTGGCTAAAAGATGGTAGCCCTGTTTCCAGCTTTAGTGACGGGCTCCAGGTACTGGGTTCAAATCCTGCTGTTTTCTCTTGTGGTAGGAAACTGGTGCAGTTGAATGGAAGTAAGTAAGTTAGAGGATCTGGAATGAACGCACTTTTGTTCTAGGTCATTGCTGTGAGTTTAGCTCTAGTAATTGCTGTGTGATGTGGAAGATACAGACATATTGAAATAAGGTGGTTCTTTGAACTGATTTCATACTGAGTAAGAGTTTGCATCAAGCAATTTTTTACTTACTGGCAAGAAGAAGAAATTGGACTGTATTTGTGTGCTGCAGGGATCTGTAGAGCTCAAGGTCATGTAATACCTCATTATATACAATAGTGATTCAGAAAAAAAGACCGACCACTGATGTAAGGATATATGGCAAAGGAGAGAGGGCCTGGTTGCTCTTTGAAAGCAAATTTTATGATCTGAAAGGAAAGAGAAGGGACATGAGTATGTTGTGGAGACAGCTCAGGGCACGGATAAAAGATGTGATGGAATGTTTGAAGCTGCTAAGACAGAGGAAGGTCCAGATCCCGCAAAGACTTGCAGATGCCAGGAGTTCCTTATGGATTTGCATGAAGGTGGACTTCTGCTGTTGCAAGCTTCAGTCAAAAGACAACAGCAGAGTGCAGGGAAGAGTCCAGGGAACAGAGAGATGGTGAGAAGCAGTGGCAAAACAAGTCTTTCATTTTGAAATGAAACCTAGTATTTCTCTCTAATTGTGTTTTACACTGAGGCCTGGGTTCTGAATGTGCTGTGTTTGTGTTGCAGGTTCTGTCTGGGGGCCGAGTCCTGGCACTGACCAGTGCTCAGATCAGTGACACAGGGAAATACACTTGTGTTGCAGTCAATGCTGCGGGCGAGAGCCAGAGAGACGTTGATCTCAGGGTTTATGGTGAGATTTTCTAAGAAATCTTTCTTTCATCTTGAGAACTGTTTCTGGAGCTGTAAACACACTGTGGCCCAGACCTTTAGCAACATTGCTTAAAAATGGTTCCAACCCATAATGGAAGGCAAAGTGATGGGAGATGTGGGTGTACTTAAATAAAAAAAATAACTATGCACGTGTGTACACATGTATTAAGGTGTGTGTGTTCTGTGCATCCTTGAAGAAATGTGGCTGCAACAGAGAATTTACAAGTTTAATACTTAAAGGCTTATTTATAAATGATAGGAGATTTTTAGGTGTTTGTGTAAAATACGTATAGATCCCTTGGGCAAAAGACTTTGCTGGAGTCTTTTTGGAAGACGAATGAGTCAGTGTGAGTTTGCCAGGCAGCTCTCCAGTTTCCATTCTATTTTCAAGCCTTGCTATGCCTGTCTAAATGGTGTTGGCTTTTTTAGTGCTAATAGTGACATTGTATTGAGTCCAACCAATCAGCATTGTCTCTTTCAAGAAGCAGGAAATCTCTCTCCTTTATACTTGGTCAGTTTTCCAAAGTCTGTCAGTAAATTAAGTCTGAAATCATTTTGACTGAACTGATGTAAACTCATCCTTCCTTCTGATTTTGTGTAACATATACAAGCTTCATCCTAATTTTTTGTCACTTCTATAGGATGCCTTTTCATACTGTGTCCTTAGAGATCATTGGTGATGTGCAGATACCAGAGTGTGATGTGCTGCCAGGAGCAATGCCAGGCATTTTGACTGTAGCAAGTTTTCAGCTTCCTTGGACAGCTCAGTGGTTTTGTTCAGCATTGAAATGAGGATGAGCAGCAACCTGCCTTCTGTTTTAGAAATCTTAGGGTACCAGATGTGGAGAGAGGGTTTTTGAATGGAAGAACTTTGTGGTTTTTTCCTTCTGCTTTCAGTAGGTCAGTGGAGAGAGAACTGTTTTAGCTCTGCCAGTCTCTGGCTTTGTGGCAATCCTAAGCCCAAGTCTGGAAAATCTTGCAAGAGAAGTTGGAAGTGTGGGTGTTTCTAAGGTGAAGGGGAACAGCTGGCCAGGCTATTTGGTTTTGAGTTTGGCTTTCAGAATTGACTTCCTTGGAAATGCACCATGGTTATGATCCTCATAACTTGAGTCGTGGCTGCTCCAGCATCTGCAGAGGGCAGCACAGGAAGTCAGGACTGGCATGGGAAACAAGCTCAAGCTTAACATGGGCTGGAACACTTCATGTCTAGAGCAAGGAATGTTAAGGTCTCTTTTGGAGCCTGGTGACAGGTGTGTACGTAGCCACAAAAGTGGCATGGATGTATTTCTTGTTTCTCTTTTGTTTTCTCTAACCTATATCTCTTTTAGCCAGGTGGAATTAGGAGTGTTTAAAGTTGTGTATGTTTAAAATTATTATTGTATCAGAAGGTGGCCAAGGTTGAGCTCAACTGCAGAGCCACCTTGAGTGCAGCTGCCACCAAAGAGTAATATTAATGTTAGGACTTGTCCCATATGGATAACCAGATTAAGAAGTCACAGGAGGAGAATAATTTGGAGTGCAGTTGGAATGGAGATGGTTAGAAATGTGCAGTGCACTGAACCAGTCTAGGAGTTGGAAGAATCTGGGTAACTCTGAGTTACCATGAGCATAATTAGATTAATTTTAAAGCCTGTTCCTTCAGAAATAAATGCTTTAGTGTCTGTCTCTCTGTTTCTTAAGCTCAGTTTCCTTTTGAACACATTTCAGTTCATTTAGCTGAGAGGAAAAGTAATTGGTGGAAAAATATTTGGAAATAAATTTGCCTTCTGCAGTAATGGATCAGCTTCCAGTTTTCAGTTCCATAGCACTGATAAAGAATCTGGGCCTTTGTGAATGCTACAATGAAAGAAAGATAAACAGATATTTTTTTTTTCAGTTGCTATATTTCTTATCCATAGAGACCAGACTTTTCCCTAAATTATTTCCAAACTGTGAAATCAGCTGCTCTGCTTAGTACTTCCTGGGCAAGGAAAACAAAGCTTTATTGTTAATGTTGTTTTTCAAGACATCTTGAGAACTATATTGCTGCTTTACTGAGTACCACTTTGGAACATTTTATAGTCTTACGTGTCCTAAATAATTCTGTATCTTTTTGTTCAGAATGAAGCCCAGAGTATTTCTCACAGACAGTCCTACTGCTTCCCTTCTTACTCCAATATTTCGTGCAATCAGACAAGTAATTTCTGGAGTAATGGACTGCAAAGTAAAAAGCCAAGGAAATGGGACAATAAGGATTCTTTTATTTGGTCCTGGTCAACTTTTTTTGGGGCAAATAGAACAGTCTGAGTACACAATAAGCAAAACAGTCCTCTTGGATACGTGTAGCTAGACAAAGTAAATCTTGCTGGGAGAGTTTTGACTTTTATAAATCTTTTAATTGTAGATTTAATGTTGCCTTAATGTCAAGGGTTTACAGTGAACATGCTCCATGTTTTTAAATTATAAGAAACGAAAGGGAATCCCTGTCAGCTGCTTTAAGGATTTAATAACATATATGTCACTAAGGGCATGAACAGGAATTCTCTTTGAGGTCACACTCAAGCAGCCCAGTAACATCACTTCTGCTCTACAGGTTGCTGTAGTTCCCTGGGTTGGTGATGCAAACAAAGGCCTCTGGCTTGCTGTGGTGTGGTGGGCAAACACTCCCAAATTCTGTTACTCTGGCTCTGAGCTGGAAAGGGAACCTCTGGTAGGGAGCTGGTGGTAAGCACCAGCAGTGCAGGCTGTGATACACACCCCTGCTGACCCAAGTCAGCGTGTGTCTGACACACCCTGAGTGTGTCAGTGTTCTGTCCGGGGCTCCCATCTGCCTGGGGAGTCTGGGGTGTCCTCTGACCTGTGCTGAGACATCAGATGTTACCACAGGGCCACCCCGAATGCTGATCCAAAGCTATAGATGGCAGTTGGGTTTGGGTCCTGAATCTTTTCATTTAAGCTCATCTTGTCAGTCTAATATTTGCTCCATGTTCTTTTTTACCCCAGCCATGGACACTTTCCCCATGGAAAATGGCTCTTGCAGTGTTGGGTTCTCGGTTACCTTCTCAGTTGCTTTGTTTTTCCTACTGTGGAAACAATTTTTAGAACTGGGAGGAGAAAATGGGCTTTCTCAAATCTTGACACTGTTCAGCAGTGGCTCATGGGCTTTGATTTAATGCCCAGAAGCATTTTTCTTTTCTTCTACACAGAAAATGTTCTTTCCAAAAGCTGATTTTCTACCCTATGACTTGTAAGTAGGAGTGTACCAATGAGGTTATCACTGCAATTGCAGTGCAAATCTAAATGGAATTCTGGCTGCCAACAATTGCAGTAATTAGCTAGCAGACACCACACAGACAACTAGTTGTAGGTTATGACTTGATGATTAAGTCACTAACCCATTCACTTGCCTGCAACCATGTCAGTTCTCATTCTGCCTTCAGCCATCTGTGGACAAAATTCTTACTCAACTCAGAGTTGTCCTTAAAGTCAAGTATCCATCTTGGCACTGTCTGGAACAGTTTGAGACATTTTCAGTTTCTAGGTCTGATTATTATCTTGAGAGCCTTTTCACTCATCAGTGCTTTTTCTTTTCAGC